CCTCGCTACCCCCAAATTCATATATTGAAACCTAATCCCCAACATGATGATATTTGGAAGTGGCACCTTTTGGAGGTGATTTGGCCATGAGGGCAAAGCCCTCATGAATGCGATTAGTGCCCTTTTAAAAGAAGTCACAGAGAGCTCCCTCACCCTTTCTGAGCATAAATATCCTTTGTAGAATAATAGGCCACATACAGTTGTTAGTTCTTAGGGTTTTATCTCTAAGATCAAAGAAAGACTAGCCTGTTTCTTCAAGCTTATTTTTACCTAGATATGAAAAGTAAAACTATTCTCGCAGAAGCCTGAATAAATCTCATGTCTGAAAATGTAGATAGGACATCTTATATTACTAACGTGTGGATTCCTGCAAGTAACGGAAATAAGATATTTCGGTTCTTGAAATATTCAGAGGTAAGCACCTGGCCAAAAGCATAGGCACATGATTGTGTTTTAAATATAGCTCATGTTTTCATCTTTCAGCTGCAGATGTATTTGGAGGTATATTTAGATAGCATATATCAGGCATTGTCTGTGGTTAGCAAATGTGGAAAAATTGAGTCAACTAATGGTAGTAATCCTAAAGGTTTTTCAAAACACCGATTTCCAACTTGCCAAGGAATTGTGGATTTAAAGCATTACATCACCCAAGTGAGAATTACAGTGATCTAAACATTTAGCTATTTGGGGAATAAACCACATTTATACTTTAATTCCTGTGATCTGTAATGATTTGTACATGAATAAGTATTTTAAAATTCCATTCAAGTTTGCAATTTCTCCTCTTTAACTAAGGGAAAGGTGCAAGGTGAGATAACTTCCAAATTCCCTAAGCAGCAAAAACTAAACAAAATAGAATGAAAACATGTAAGAGTCTAAGTTTCTTCTTCAGCTAGTGGTATTTACCTCCCAATCTTTGCTGCTTATGACTTACTATATCATATTAGAATCATACAAAATTGCCAATATCTGACCAGTTTAGACATAAAAAACACAGTTCATGTGGTTCAAATTAATATTAATAATAGAACACTTAAAACCACAGCATGTGTAAATTCAGAATAGAAATTTCTGCAAACACATCCTTTTAATGAAGGTGCTAAAATAGCATAAGTAAGACTTTCATACAACTGCAGATAAGTTGTTATTAGACAATAACATAAAGTTACAGTAAGTGATTTTGCAAAGCCCAATACTTTATATATGCTAAATGAAAATGTCAAATAAGTGTATGTATTGCCTATGTTTAGTTAACTAAAAAATCCCATGCCAGGGACCCCAAAGTTTAATCTCTTTGTCATCCTGTTTGCTCGCCATGTTCCATGACCCACTGTACTCACTCTTAATCCAAGACATTCATCCCTTAAATACATGGCCCAAGACAGAGGATGAGAGGTAAGGATTGGGGTGGGGATGAATTTCAAAAAAAAAAAGGTGAAAATCTATGACTCCTGCAG